ATTCATAACAGTAGCAAAATCACTGTTATGAAGTAACAACAAAAATATTGTTATGGTTGGGGGTCACCACCACAGGAGGAACTGTATTAAGGGGTCGCGGCATTGGGAAGGTTGAGAACCACTGATCTTCACTGTAGAAATTGATGCAGTTTGATCCCACTTTAATGGCCATCGCTGAATCTATGGAGTCCTGGGAGTTGTAGTGTTGGTTGCCTCACCAGCTTGCAACTCCCATCATTCGATAGCAATGGGATGCAGGAATGGATGGACCATGGTTTCAATCCATCTCGGCTCTTCTGATATACTTACCATTTTACAGCTTATCCAACAAAGAGAAAAGAAATGGGAATAATGCGGGGATTTTGCCCTCGAGATATGGTTGGACTACATCTCCCAGCTGTTTTAGCATGACAACAGACTGCATAGTATGGAAATAACAGATGCCCCACTGTCTTTACTATTTTAATATTTAATATTTAGGGGAAATATCGTAATAGAAAAGCAACTGGCCTTCTTTGCGGTCCATAAAGCGGTGGCCTGGGTGACCCATTCCCGCGCATGGATCCCCGCATCGATCCAGATGGCGGGCCGGTTCTTCCCTCCGGTGCTGAACTACAGGATGCAAAATCGATTATCACAAAATGGCCCAAAAATGGAAGGAAACGGCAAATGAGTTGCAATGGAAAGCAAAGTCTTACCTTAAGGACGTAGAGGGGCCTTTTCTCGTAGGACTCCCCAATCTGCAGTTTGCTCACAAGTTTGGGATATTCAGCCACAATGTTGTCCATTTCTTGATAAATCTGGAATTCAAACCATCATGGATTTCACACTTCTGCAAATATATTTTTGAGATGCAGAGAAAATTAAAGGAAAAGAATAATGCGACCAGAATCCTGGAAACCCTTTTGACAAGGAAGCAAAAAATCTTATATATTATTACAGTATGGTTGCTGTATACATGGGGAATATGTGCCCAAATTTTGCATAGATATGTGAAAACGCAAATAATAATAATAATAATAATAATAATAATAATATGCTGGTTGTGTTTTTATCTATGCATATGAACTGTGTTGTACCTAGTTCAAATACATAAATGATGGTGATGATGATTTTTTTTTTTGTCGTGTCAGGAGAGACTTGAAAAACTGCAAGTCGCTTCTGGTGTGAGAGAATTGGCGTCTGCAAGGACGTTGCCCAGGGGATGCCCCGGATGATTTGATGTTTATCATCCTTGTGGGAGGCTTCTCTCATGTCCCCGCATGAGGAGCTGGAGCTGATAGAGGGAGCTCATCCGCCTCTCCCTGGATTCGAACCTGCCGGTCTTCAGGCCTGCCAACACAGGGGTTTAACCCACTGTGCCACTGGGGGATCCTGGTGATGATGATGATTTTTTAATCTCAGCAGACTGCCAAAACTAAGGTTACAAGTCCCCGTTGGGGAGATGGTGGCGGGGTATAAATAAAGTTTATTATTATTATTATTATTATTACAACATCTATTATAGAACTCCAATATGCTGATGACAACATCATCTGTGCGCATTCAGAAGAAGTCCTACAAGCCACTCTAAACACCTTCGCAGAAGCATACAAGAAGCTTGGCCTGTCATTGAACACCAAGAAAACCAAACTTCTGTTCCAGCAGTCACCAGCCAACCCCTCTCCAACGCCAGAGATACAGCTTAATGGTGTAACATTAGAAAATGTTGACCATTTCCGCTACCTTGGCAGCCACCTCTCCACCAAAGTCAACATTGACACCGAAATACAACACCGCCTGAGCTCTGCGAGCGCAGCATTTTCCCGAATGAAGCAGAGAGTGTTTGAGGACCGGGACATCCGTAGGGATACCAAGGTGCTTGTCTATAAAGCTATTGTCCTCCCAACCCTGCTCTACGCCTGCAAAACGTGGACTGTCTACAGACGTCACATGCAATTCCTGGAATGATTCCATCAACGTTGCCTCTGAAAAATCTTGCAAATCTCTTGGGAAGACAAGCGGACAAATGTCAGCGTGCTGGAAGAAGCAAAGACCACCAGCATTGAAGCGATGATTCTCCACCATCAACTCCACTGGGTCGGGCTTCCAGACAACGTCTCCAGACCGTCTCCCAAAGCAGTTTCTATACTCCGAACTCAAGAACGTAAAACAAAATGTTGGTGGGCAGGAAAAGAGATTTAAAGATGGGCTCAAAGCCAGCCTTTAAAACTGGCATAGACTCTGAGAACTGGGAAGCCCTGGCCCTTGAGCGCTCCAGCTGGAGGTCAGCTGTGACCAGCAATACTGCAGAATTTGAAGAGGCACGAATGGAGGTCAAAAGAAAGAAACATGCCAAGAGGAAGGAGCATCAAGCCAACCCCGACCGAGACTGCCTTCCACCTAGAAACCGATGCCCTCACTGTGGGAGAACATGCAGATCAAGAATAGGGCTCCATAGTCACCTACGGACCCACCACCAGGACACCAATCTTGGAAGACTCGGACAACGAGGGGTCGCCTAAGTAAGTAAGTAAGATAAATTTCTTTTACTATTTGCCTTAAAGAGAATATTAAATTATTATATTATTGGAAAAAAATGTATAATATCACAAAGGATGACCACCTCACCTGCTTCATAGGAAATCTGCTACAAAACAGGAGCTTTTTTGTTGAGGTCCAGGGCCAGAGAAGCAGACGGGGAAAACAGAAAAACGGCCTGCTTCAGTGGAGCGTACTTGCTCCATTCATGTTTAACATTTACACAAATGACCAGCCACTGCCAGAAGGGACAGAGAGTTTCATCTATGCTGACGATTGAGCCATCACCGCTCAAGCAAGGAGCTTTGAAATGGTTGAACAGAAGCTCTCCAAAGCTTTAGGTGCTCTTACTGCCTATAATAGGGAAAACCAACTGATTCCTAATTCATCTAAAATGCAGGCGTGTGCTTTTCATCTTAAGAACAGACAAGCATCTTGAGCTCTGAGGATGACCTGGGAAGGAATCCCACTGGAGCATTGCAGCACACCCAAATACTTGGATGTCACTCTGGACTGTGCTCTGATTGACAAGAAGCACTGCTTGACAATCAAGCAAAAAAGTGGGTGCTAGAAATAATATGATACAAAAGCTGACTGGCACAACCTGGGGATCACAACCAGACACAGTGAAGACATCTGCCCATGTGCTTTGCTAATCTGCTGCTGAATACGCATGCCCAGTGTGGGATACATCTCACCACGCTAAAACAGTGGATGTGGCTCTTAATGAGACATGCCATATTATCACAAGGCTCAGAACCTTGGACAGGTTCTTTAAAAGTTTGGACTAAAACCCGGAGCGGATTATCTCCCCTTGACATCAGAGCCACCTTTTTCCATTTCAATAAGCGGAGAAGGAGAACCCATTCTTGGCCCACTTACGGTTTCTAAAGGGTGGTAAGCGCCATAATTAAAGCTGTTGCTGCCACGTTCCCTCCGCTGGTTGAGGTACATCTCGCGTCTTTCTTCGTCCACCGCGGCCTAAGAAATTTAACACAGCTCAGCAGGGTGAAAAATGGGATATTTTCAAGGTCTTTGCAATGTGCTTGCTCTCTGCTTTCTTAGATGCCTTCCCATGATCTCTCTGCATCTCTAATTCATTGCCATCCTCATCGTGTCTTGCTATGCTTGTGAGTATCTCTGTATATTGATAGCAGACCTGTAAATAGTTGTATGTAGCAATGACTGAAGGAATTAGGATGAAAATCAGAACTCAAGTGTGCTTATTCAAGTGCTGAGCTACTATACAAGGTCAGAGGCCGTGATATGAAATCTCTGCTGTGACCAAGACTCTGCAGTGTTTTGGGGATCTGAACTAACCACCACTTGCCTTTGAGACCGTCTATCCCATTGAGTATCTAGAGGAGGAGGAGGAATTCACGTGCCTACCCAGCGGGGGGGGGGTGTTGTGTATGTTTTTACTCTTTCTCCCTTCTATCCTCACACATGGGAGTTGTAGTTTCCCTCTGCAGTGTTTTGAGGATCTGAACTAACCACCACTTGCCTTTGAGACAGTCTGTCCCATTGAGTATCTAGAGGAGGAGGAGGAGGAATTCACGTGCCTACCTAGCAGTTGGGGTGTTGTGTATGTTTTTACTCTTTCTCCCTTCTATCCTCACACATGGGAGTTGTAGTTTCCAAAGTCCTTTCCTGGCCAAATCGTGATGGATGGCCTTGCTGAACCACATGCTGGGACTCAGCCTGTGTGTGAACCTGAGCCTGAATCTCTGATTGTATTGCCTAATGCTGATGCTCATGTTGATGCTCATGTTGATGGGCCTAATTTGGATAGTGAGGCTGAAGTGATCAATGGGGACGAGGGTAAAGATGGAGACACTTTGGGCAGTAAAAATCCTACAGGCTTAGATTTAGAGGCTTCAAGGGGAAAGCCAAGTTCTCATGAGAAAGGAAATTCACTCCCTTCTTCTGGCTCAAGATTGCAAGATAACTTGACACCTGTCGGGTCAATGAAAACAGCCGCAGTTTGGAGATAAGCCAGAACCGCAGGGAGGCTCAATGTGTACGTGGGTCCAAGGGAAAAGCCAAGTTCTCATGAGAAAGTTTCTGTCAGACCGAGAGAAGAAAATTCACTCCCTTTTCCTCCTGGCTCGAGCTTGGTTGGGTCAATGATAACAGCCGCAGTTTGGAGATAAGCCAGAACTGCAGGGAGACTCAATGTTTACGTAGGTCTGAGAGAATCCGACAACTGAAACCAAAGATTAGAGTTAGCCGGAATCAGTTTTTTTTGGGATTTAAGAGTGCCTGTGAGGAGGATTTCTTTAGACCAAGCATCATTTAGTATCAAGTACAAACCTCTTGGGTTTTCCAGTTTCCAGTGGTCTGGTCTCGAAGGGAATTTCTGGCTTTTCAAGTGAGATTAGCAGGGGCTAATCTATTCATGGATTTCTATTGAGAGTTTTCTGGACATCACTGCTTTGGATTTTCTACAAACTTTCTAGACATTGCTGTTTGCTGTTTCATTTTGGCTTTTCCCCCCTTTTGACTTCTATCTATTTTATATTCTTCATTCAATAAAAAGGATTGTATTTTTCCTGAACCAAGGTGTGGTGTATTAATGACAAGAGGACCCTGTTTCCTGCTCTGGAGTGCAACACTACAACTCCCAGGATTCTGTCCCATTTAGCCACCGTGCGTTCATTCTACAGTAGGGTTTCCCTGTAGGTTGGGGTCAGGATGTCTACCTGGACATCTTCCATCATGACACAATACTTGATGCCACGGGATTCCAGGAAAACTTTGACATCTTGAAGGCAAGCGAAAGGCACTTGGATGTCCACGGGCTCATTCGGATACGACGGGAACCTCCAGAAGTCAAGCTGGGAAAAGGAAAAGCAAAAAATGAGGTTAGAAACCACTGAAATAAAGGAAATGCTGGTGAAAATGTAGAGGCACAACGCCTTTAAATTCCTAGTCTGTGTGAAAGTGCACGTGTGTAATTATATAAGTCTCTATAGGTTACATGCCAATTTACAAACCAGAACAGATAACGGTCTTGATTTTACTATAGGTGTTGAAGTGGTGTGAGGTTTGAGAATGGACCCAGTGGAATACAGACCAATCCTCAAGTTCCTTTACTTGAAAGGCCGCATATCGGAGGTGACCCCCCCCCCCCACCAGGACTCTATGATGGCGGGAGAACGTGTGGGTCAAGAACAGGGCTCCACAGTGACCTACGGATCCACCAGTACACTGATCAAGATTATCCTACTCAGACAACGAGGGATCGCCTAAGTAAGGAAAAAGTTACACCTCGTTACATCTAGGATAGACTACTGCAGTGCACTCTACATGGGGTAGCCCTTGAAGACTGCTCGGAAGCTTCAACTAGTCCAACGAGAGGCAGCCAGGTTAATAACTGAGGTGGCATACAGGGAGCATACAATTTCCATGTTATGCCAGCTCCATTGGCTACCAGGCACAATTCAAATGTATAATATCACAAAGGATTACCACCTCACCCGCTTCAAAGGAAATCTGCTACAAAACAGGAGCTTTTTGCTGAGTTCTAGGTTCAGCGAAGCCCTAAACGTCCCCCGCCCAAATTGCCTGTCCAAACGCATCTCTCTCTATGAACCATCACAGAGATTAAGATCCTCTGGGGAGGCCCTGCTTTCTATCCCGCCATTGTCACAGGCACGATTGGTGGGGACGAGAGACAGGACCTTCTCGGTGATTGCTCCCTGGCTATGGAACTCTTTTCCTGGTGAGATCTAGTCGGCCCCCTCCCTCCTGTCCTTTAGAAGGATGGTCAAAACTTGGCTGAGGGGCCAAGCTTTCGGGACAGGGAAATAAAGCAGCAATAGGAAAGATGACCAGGCCAATTAGATTTGACGCAGATGACTAGGATGGTTTTAAATGGTGTATTTTAATATTTTGATAACTGAGTTGTTGTAGGTTTTTTTGGGCTATATGGCCATGGTCTAAAAGCATTCTCTCCTGACGTTTCGCCTGCATCTATGGCCAGCATCCTCAGAGGTAGTGAGGTCTGTTGGAACTAGGAAAAAGGGTTTATATATCTGTGGAATGACCAGGGTGGGACAAAGAACTCTTGTCTGCTGGAGCTAGGTGTGAATGTTTCAACTGACCACCTTGATTAGCTTGACAGTGCCTAGAGCAAACTTTTGTTGAGAGGTGATTAGATGTCCTTGTTTGTTTGCTCTCTGTTGTTGTGCTAATTTTAGAGTTGTTTTAATACTGGTAGCCAGACTTTGTTCATGTTCATGGTTTCCTCCTTTCTGTTGAAATTGTAATAGAATTGTATTGCCAGGATGTATGTTTACACAGAAGGGTTCAACAGCGAAGTTACGGCTGTGAGAATGTGACCCTGAATTCTTGCTGTGTGCAAGTTTAGGGAGTGCCAGAGATAACCTCCTATCCAGATGCAGTTTGTTTTAAGTGCTTATCTCTTTCGTTTTGTGTTCTTCGTGTCTGTCCGCTGATGGTGTGTGTTGTATTTTTGAACTGCTCAAGTAAAGCTGAAACCTGCTTTTTACCGGAGACTCCAGAGTCCATTATTCAGTGCTTCCGCGATTATCTTGCCCACGTTAACAATTCAAACACTGAAAATGTATAAAAGATGTATTCTCCTGTATTGGGTATGCCGGCTTCTTCAGCAGATTACTGCAGCCATCATCCTTATCCAGCTGGAACGGAAATAAATACCTCAGTGGCTTCTGCTTCAACTTGGTGAGATTTATTCTGGAATATTGGCTTCTTTTCTCAACAGGCTAAACCCACAGCGGCTTGGATCTCACTATCCACTGCTATTCTAAACTGCTCGATAACACCATCACACTACAAATCCCAGGATTCTAGAGCAGGGAGCCAGGGAAGCAAAAGTGGGACCAAAAAGCAATAAGCATGTAACGTGGAAGCAACTTGATACCTAGGTTCTTGTGGGTTTTTTCGGGCTATAGGGCCATGTTCTAGAGGCATTTCTCCTGATGTTTCACCTGCATCTATAGCAAGCATCCTCAGAGGTAGTGAGGTCTGTTGGAACTAGAAAAAAAGGGTTTATATATCTGTGGAATGGCTGGGGTGGGGCAAAGAACTCTTCTCTGCTGGAGCTAGGTGTGAATGTTTCAACTGACCACCTTCATTAGCATTTGAAGGCCTGGCTGAGCCTGGGAAAATCTTTTGTTGAGAGGTGTTAATCTGTGCCTGGTTGTTTCCTCTCTGCTGTTTTGCTGTTGTAATTTTAGAGTTTTTTTAATACTGGTAGCCAGATTTTGTTCAAGGTCTCTTCCTTTCTGTTGAAATTGTCCACATGCTTGTGGATTTCAATGGCTTCTCTGTGTAGTCTGACATGGTGGTTGTTGGTGTGGTCCAGCATTTCTGTGTTCTCAAATAATATGCTGTGTCCAGGTTGGTTCATCAGGTGCTCTGCTATGGCTGATTTCTCTGGTTGGAGTAGTCTGCAGTGCCTTTCATGTTCCTTGATTCGTGTTCCTTGATTGCTGCGTTTGGTGGTCCCTATGTAGACTTGTCCACAGCTGCATGGTACATGGTAGACTCCTGCAGAGGTGAGAGGATCCCTCTTGTCCTTTGCTGAACGGAGCATTTGTTGGATTTTCTTGGTGGGTCTGTAGATAGTTTGTATGTTGTGTTTCCTCATCAGCTTCCCTATGCGGTCAGTGGTTCCCTTGATGTCTGGCAAGAACACTTTTCCTCTGGGTGGATCTTCATCTTGACTCTCGTGGCTTGTTCTTGGTCTTGCAGCTCTTCTGATGTCTGAGGTGGAGTCTCCATTGGCCTGTAGAGCCCAGTTGAGGTGGTTCAGTTATTTGAGAACACAGAAATGCTGGACCACACCAACAACCACCATGTCAGACTACACAGAGAAGCCATTGAAATCCACAAGCATGTGGACAATTTCAACAGAAAGGAAGAGACCATGAAAATGAACAAAATCTGGCTACCAGTATTAAAAAACTCTAAAATTACAACAGCAAAACAGCAGAGAGGAAACAACCAGGCACATCTTAACACCTCTCAACAAAACATTTTCCCAGGCTCAGCCAGGCCTTCAAATGCTAATGAAGGTGGTCAGTTGAAACATTCACACCTAGCTCCAGCAGAGAAGAGCTCCTTGCCCCACCCCAGCCATTCCACAGATATATAAACCCATTGTCCTAATTCCAACAGACCTCACTACCTCTGAGGATGCTTGCCATAGATGCAGGCGAAACGTCAGGAGAAATGCCTCTAGAAAATGGCCCTATAGCCCTTAAAAACCCACAAGAACCTAGAGATTCCAGCCATGAAAGCCTTTGACAATAACTTGATACCTCTTAATTGAGATGGCTCTATACCAGAGAGTTCTAGTTCCTCGCCAAACTACAAATCCCAGCATTAGGCAGGATGTATCAGTGTCAGTTGAAGTCGTATTAAAGTGCTGTGGTTGCGTAAGGTGTGCAATGACCTGGAATGTGTACCTGTATCTTCCGCTTAATGACAAGCCTACTTTTCTTTGCCTGGAGTTTAATTGCAAAGCATTGAGTGATACTCGGAAAAGAGCAATTAGCAAACTCCTCCGTACGAAAACGACGCACCTGCAGAGGCTCCAGGACTCGGAGCTCTTTCAGCAGCTGGACCTGTTCTTCGTTGCACGGCTCCACCCGCAGAACCTGGTCCCTGCAATCACAAGATGTTTATTTATAATATGTGTGTGTGTTTGTGTGTATATATTATGTCACCCCCTCCTTTTTATCCTCCTCATTATCATCTTTCACCACCTCCATCTCAGCTCTCTTCCGCTTCCTTTGCGATCTGCATTTGTTTAGGAAACTGGATGTTCCAGATATGGTTTATGAGGACGATATATTTATCATCTATCTATCATCTTCTATCTATCTATCTATCTATCTATCTATCTATCTATCTATCTATCTATCTATCTATCTATCTATCCATCCATCCATCCATCCATCCATCCATCCATCCATCTATCTATCTATCTATCTATCTATCTAAAAATGCTCTGTTCGTTTTGAGTGGCATCATAACTCAAAATCCGTTGGACGAATTGCTGCCTAATTCAGCCACAAGACACCTACTAACCCAAGGAAAGAACATTGCTCAAAAAAAGCTCATTTTGTCATTTGGGAGTTGTAGTTGCTGGGATTTATAGTTCACCTACCATCAAAGATTTTGGCCTGCATCAATAGGAGCATAGTGTCTAGATCTAGGGAAGTAATGCTACCCCTCTATTCTGTTTTGGTTAGACCACACCTGGAATATTGTGTCCAATTCTGGGCACCACAATTCAAGAGAGATATTGACAAGCTGGAATGTGTCCAGAGAAGAGCGACTAAAATGATAAAAGGTCTGGAGAACAAGCCCTATGAGGAGCGGCTTAAGGAGCTGGGCATGTTTAGCCTGAAGAAGAGAAGGCTGAGAGGGGATATGATAGCCATGTATAAATATGTGAGAGGAAGCCACAGGGAGGAGGGAGCAAGCTTGTTTTCTGCTTCCTTGGAGACTAGGACGCGGAACAATGGCTTCAAACTACAAGAGAGGAGATTCCATCTGAACATGAAGAAGAACTTCCTGACTGTGAGAGCCTGATCAGCAGTGGAACTCTGCTCCAGAGTGTGGTGGAGGCTCCTTCTTTGGAAGCTTTTAAACAGAGGCTGGATGGCCATCTGTCAGGGGTGATTTGAATGCAATATTCCTGCTTCTTGGCAGGGGGGTTGGACTGGATGGCCCATGAGGTCTCTTCCAACTCTTTGATTCTATGATTCTATGTTCATCAATCAAAGACCATTCTGAACTCCACCAATGATGGAAGTGAACCCAACGTGGCACACAGGACTCCCATTACCAACAGAAAACACTAGAAGGGTTTGGTGGGCATTGACCTTGAGTTTTGGAGTTGTAGTTCACCTACATCCAGAGACCACTGTGGACTCAAACAATGAAGGATCTGGACCAACACTTTGTTGTAAATTTTTCAGGCTTCCTTTGCAATCTGCATTTGTTTAGGAAGCTGGATGTTCCAGATATGGTTTATGAGGATGATATAATTAGGTTTTTCGGGCTGTATGACAATGTCTCACAACCTTGCAACCTCTGAAGATGCCTGCCATAGATGCAGGCAAAACGTCAGGAGATAATGCTTCTGGAACATGGCCAGACAGCCTGAAAAACCTACAACAACCCAGTGATCCTGACCATGAAAGCCTTTGACAATATGATCTGGACCAAACTCGGCAAGGATACTCCATTTGCCCAAATATGAACACAGATGGGGTTTGGGGGGAAATAGACCTTGACATATGAAAGTTGTTGCTACTGAGATTTATAGTTCACCATTCTGAACCCCATGAACAATACAATTGGGCCAAACTTCCCACACAGAACCCCCATGAGCAACAAATAATAATGTGCTTTCTAATGGTTTTTGGAGACCCTTCTGATGCCTCCCCCCACCCCAAGTTGAGAAATGCGGCTTGAGGTCATCCAATCCAACTCCCTTCATCAGGGAAAGAAAATCTAATTAAAGCCCTCCTGACAAAGAGCCATCCAGCCATAGATATAGATAGATCTATATGATTCACACACACACACACACACACATACGTATATGACATACAGTATCATAGATTTGAAAGGGACCCCTAAGAAGTTGATAAGTCTTTAGCTTGGTTGTTGTAGGTTTTTTTGGGCTATATGGCCATGGTCTAGAGGCATTCCCTCCTGACGTTTCGCCTACATCTATGGCAAGCATCCTCAGAGGCAGGCGAAACGTCAGGAGAGAATGCCTCTAGAACATGGCCATATAGCCCGAAAAACCCTACAACAACCCAGTGATTCCGGCCATGAAAGCCTTCGACAATACATCTTTAGCCTTCTCTGTCAAAGGGCACTGGATGATTAAATGCCAGGGTTCCAGAGCATGAATTGTGTTGCCTAGAACTTCTCTTGATCTAGATACTATTCTCTTGATGCAGCCTAGAATCGCATTGATCTTTATAAGCTGCTGCATCACACTTTTGGCTCATGGTCTGCTTATGGTCCCTAAGAAACCTAGATAGTCTTCAAGCTAGTTAAAGCAGTGTCGAACAGCATTAATTCTACAGTGCAGATGCACCCAAGGATATCCCCTTGCAGGCTTTCCTTCTCTATGCTAAAGAAGGTTGTTGTTGTTGTTATATAATATATTATAATATTCTTATATAATATATTATACAACAACAACATTATATAACAACAACAACAATATAGTATAATATTATTATATAATGGGAGCCCCCGGTGGTGCAGTGGGTTAAACCGCTGAGCTGCTGAACTTGCTGACCGAAAGATTGCAGGTTCAAATCCGGGGAGCAGCGTCAGCTCCCGCTATTAGCCCTAGCTTCTGCCAACCTAGCAGTTAGAAAACATACAAATGTGAGTAGATCAATAGGTACCGCTCCATGCAGTCATGCTGGCCACATAACCTTGGAGGCATTTACGAACAACGCTGGCTCTTTGGCTTAGAAATGGAGATGAGCACCAACCCCCAGAGTCAGACACTATTGGACTTAATGTCAGGGGAAAACCTTTATCTTTACCTTATTATTATATAACTAGCTATACCCTTCACGTGTTGCTGTGACCAACCTTCCCTCTTTCTCTCCTTCTTTCCCTCCTTCCTTCACTCCCTATTTCCTTCTCTTCTTCCTTCCTTCTCTATCTCTTTCCTTCCTTTCCCCTTTTTCTTTCTCTTCTGCTGTCTCTCTTTTCTTCCTTCTCTCTTTCCTTCCCTCCCTCTTTCTCTATATCTTCCCCCCTTCCTTCGCTCTCTCTTTCCTTCCATCTTTCCTTTTTTCTTTCCTTCTCTCCTTCCTTGTCTAACTTTCCTTCCTTCCCCCTTTTTCTTTCCCTCCCATTTTCTCTCCTTTCTTCCTTCTCTACCTCTTTCCTTCCTTCTCTCTTTGCTTCCATGCTTCCTTCTCCCTTTTCTTCTTTCTTTCCCTCCCCCTTTCTTCTTTCTTCTCTTTCTTTCTTTCTTTCTTTCTTTCTTTCTTTCTTTCTTTCTTTCTTTCTTTCTTTTCTCCCCTTCCCTCCCTCCCTCTTTCTTCCTTTTTTCTGTATTGTCATTTAGCTTTTTCGTCATTTAGCTTTTTGGGGGCTTTTTAAGTCCCTTCTGTTGTGTTTTTCAGTGTTTTTATGAGTGAAGGACATACATTGGGTTGTTAGGTGTCTTGTGTCCAAATTTGGTGTCAATTCCCCCAGTGGTTTTTGAGTTCTGTTAATCCCACAAACGAACATTACATTTTTATTTATATAGAAAATAATATATTATTGTTGTTGTTTATTGTTTATTTATGCCCCGCTTTTAATCTCCATAAAGGAAACTCAAAGCGGCTTGTGATGTTTGTGGCTTCAAGTAAAATCTTTTGATATTAGACAACATTCTATAATGGTCAGCATCAGTTTTGGCCAATTTTGAAGATTCCCATATTTTGTGTTGTTTTTTCATATACTACAATAAAGATCGATTTTTTAAAAACAGAAGGGTGAGCGATATAGAATCCTAGAGCTGGAATGGACCCTCAAAGGCCATCCAGTCCATCCCAACCTGTTAAGATCCCATCAAAGCCCTCCCAACAGATGGCCATATAGCTTACAAACCTCAAGAGGAATGGAAAACTCTACTCACCCAGCAAAGGTTTCCTGGCCCAACGTTGCCCCAAGGAGGGTTGCAACAAGCAGAATTGCTCTCATGATGGAAAACTCATCCAAAAGTGGGGCAAAACTCATGCAATATTTATATATTTGCATTGTCAAAAGTCATTTCCCAGAGAGGCTCCATGTGCTTGCATTCCCATGCGCTGCCAAAAGGTTCAAGGCACCGGACTTGATAAATGTGTGTATTGTGTCTCCTCTGCAAGGTGTTGCTCACTGCAATACAGTGATAATTATATCATTATAAAAGGCAGAGGAAGCTGGCTGGCCGGAGAAGCAAACAAACAAAATACTTGTCGGGATGCATGGAAATGTTGTGCCTGCAAAGCCTCTTACTCCCTTTCCTCTGGCAGAGAAAAATATTGATGCTATTCATTAACAAAAGAAGGGATTGGATTTATTTAAACATGTTTTGGAAATGAGTTTGTGTTGAGACTCAGCGTCTGTCTCATGCACCTACTACTAGTAGTAGAAGGAAACGTAGGTTAGAGAATGATGAAGCTCATTACACTGTACAATTTATGCAGTTTTGTTATTGAGACACAGTACCCCCTCCCTGGAAGATTTATAGTTCACCAAGTACTCAGAAATAAATTCATTACTTTTCCTTTTTTAAAAACAACTTTCCAGACTTGTGCAAATCCAAAGTATTAGAGGATTGAGACCAAACCAGCAGCAGCTGTAAACCCCTAAACTCTATTGTATGTAACCCTTTAATAAATTGCATCTACTAGCAGGATTCAAAACGATCTTGACAGATGAGAGAGATGATGGGCCAAAACTAACAAAATGAAGTTCAACAGGGACAAATGCAAGATACTCCACTTAGGCAGAAAAAAACAAAATGCAAAGATACAGAATGGGGGACGATGCCTGGCTCGAGAGCAGGACGTGTGGAAAAGATCTTGGAGTCCTCGTGGACAACAAGGTAAACATGAGCCAGGAATGTGGTGTGGTGGCAAAAAAAGCCAATGGGATTTTGACCTGCATCAAGAGGAGCATAATGTCTAGATCCAGGGAAGTCATGCTACCCATGCTCTATTCTGCTTTGGTTAGACCACACCTGGAATATTGTGTCCAATTCTGGGCACCACAATTCAAGGGAGATGTTGACAAGCTGGAATGTGTCCAGAGGAGGGCGACTCAAATGATCAAGGGTCTAGAGAACAAGCCCTATGAGGAGCGGCTTAAGGAGCTGGGCATGTTTAGCCTGAAGAAGAGAAGGCTGAGAGGAGATATGATAGCCATGTATAAATATGTGAGAGGAAGCCACAGGGAGGAGGAGTGCTTCCCTGGAGACTAGGACACGGAACAATAGCTTCAAACTACAAGAAAGGAGATTCCATCTGAACATGAGGAAGAACTTCCTGACTGTGAAAGCCGTTCAGCAGTGGAACTCTCTGCCCGGAGTGTGGTGGAGGCTCCTTCTTTGGAAGCTTTTAAACAGAGGCTGGATGGCCATCTGTCGGGGTGATTTGAATGCAATATTCCTGCTTCTTGGCAGAATGGGGTTGGACTGGATGGCCCATGAGGTCTCTTCCAACTCTTTGATTCTATGATTCTACTTTATGATTTTGTGTAACTTGTATCTTTCAACTGTGTACTGTATCTATCTATTTCTCATACATGACATGTATACAAACTGCTTCTTAATAATGTATCAAAATGTCAATTAGAAACAGCCACCCTTCTGTGACCCTATTGAGATAATCTCATGGGAATCGAAAAGGTTCGGCAAATCCTTCTGGCTATTTCCCAAACCAGGTAATCATCAGATTCATTGTGTATGTTGTGGCTCGATGCTATGGAACCCCTCAGGATTGTAGTTTGGTGAGGGTTGTAGTTTGGTGAGTCCTCCAGCCCTCTTTGGCAGAGAAAGCTAAAGACCTTATAAAACTACAACTCCCAGGAATCCATAGAAGTTAAAGTGGTGTCAAACCGAATTAATTCTACAGTGTAGGTGCATCCAAGGAAAACGCCAAAGACAAAGGTATTCAGATAAGGATGGACAGCTGGGCCCAAGGCGAAATTACTCATTGCTTACACAATTGGTGGATCTGGTCCAAGCATTCCAGCATCTGCCTCCTCATTCATTTCATGCATTAAAACATCCATAAAAACCAGGCTTTAGGAATGCTTTCTGGCAGGACTATCCACATTATTTTTAAATGATGAGCTTTAAACTAAGAATTATTTTCATGTGTAAAATGTGACCTCTGTAGAGGATCATCTGCAGAGGATGTGTTCCCAAGGTTAGCATAGATATGTGACACTGGATAAAATTATGTGAGAAAAATTGAAACCTCTTCCTGGGTTGAAAGTGTTATTTCCTGTTTAATTGTGTGCCCCTTAGTTTGAAACTATTTGTTATGTTAGGGACCCCCTTTGCCGTTACACCCAGACGTTATAAAAATAAACTAAGATGTGCTTCTCTCTATGTCTGAGCGAACTGCGGGTGTCTTTCTTTAGAAGCTTGAGATACTCAACAACTGAGGCTATTAAAGGTTTTGAGCATCAAAAAAGGGATATTTATTCTTCAAAGTCCTTGCAGACTTGGCACAGCTTATCGAGGTTACAAAGAAAACAGTCAATAGTGAATCCGCAGATATATTCTTTCTTTCCCTTCTCCTCCAGTCACTGAGTTAGCTTTTCCCCAGAAGGCAGAGAAGATCTCGAAATCTTTTCACCCTAACCCTAAGCTGTTACTTTTTAGAAAGACCAGGTCTTTCCCTATCTATGCTCAAGGTTAGTTCTGGAGATAAAGCAATAAAGTCTCTCGCTCTATATCTATATATCTGGCCCATGAGGTCTCTTCCAAATCTATGATTCTAAAGGAATTAGGTACCGGTAAGCGAGGGAGATATTTTACAACACCACTGTTGGAATTCAGCCTGTGAGTACTCTGGATGTTGGGAGTGACAATGAGATTCATGTTTCTAATGATGAGGTTGCTCCAGATGCAGAGAATGACAATGGGATTCCTGTTCAAAGTGATTTTTCTGATGGGAATGTTCCTGATGGGTTTGGGGATGATGCTCTGTTCCCTGGGCCTGAATTGCTACCAGATAATTCCCAAGCCTTTGAGCACCTGGGCCAGCTGCAGAAATTAATGAGCCAGTAGATAGGAGAAATGCTTTCAGTCAGCACAGACAAACAAACCAAGCTCTCAGGCACTCTGCCAGATTGCGAGAGAGATTGATAACAGAGTCAAGGCTGAAAAGAAATCCATTCCTGGCCGCCTGGGATATAAAGTAGATTAGGGGATAAAAGTGCCAATTACAGAATCTGTATTCAGACGAAGCAATGTTGGAATTGAGTCAAGACATTGTCCCATGTCCCTGCAAGCCTTGCCTTGGGTAGATTCCTGTACTAAGTGCCTCACCTTTGGAGAGTAGCTACACAACCTTAAACTTTTACTCCCTTCAACTTTATTGTCCCTGGAGTACACTTCCTCCTTTATATGAAGACCTGTTTTTTACAACCCCGTTTCTTCATGAGCTCTCCCTCGCAAATCTGCTCCTCCTTTATCTCACCCTGAGTTTTTAGAATTTTAGAGTTTTTAGCATTTTAGAGTTTTTAGCTCATTGTCATCGTGATTGTGGATATTGTATTGGTATATTGCTTATTGTAGTCATATGTTTTATGTATTTTGTTGTGTTGTTGCTTGTGTTTTGGTTTTATTTTATTGTAATTTTCTGTTTGGGCCTGGCCTCATGTAAGCTGCCCCGAGTCCCCGTTGGGGAGATGGTGACAGGGTATAAATAAAGATTATTATTATTATTATTATTATTATTATTATTATTATTCAATTCATGCTCAAGTTTTGGGGTTTTACCTTGGAAGTTTCAGTATTTGTTTTTTTATGAACTCTGATGGACTAATTTCCTAGATTATTTTTTTCTGCTTATCTTTCTACCTAATTGGATTTACCTATTTTTGTGGACGGTTTTTCACTGCTACTGCTTTTAAAATATCTCCAATAAATTGCTTGCATTTTTACTCAGCTGTGTGGTGTTTAAAGCCAGAGGGCTTTCCCTGCCTGGAGTGCAACAACCATAAAGAAAAAAAGATCAAAAAATACCAGGAACCAAAAGTAGAAAAATTAGGCACCGCTAAAACAAGTGGGGAACATATTCTACGACACCAGGGGGGGAAAAAAATCAGAAAATGCTCGGTGACTAAAAGGAAGGAGGAAGTCCTCATGGCTCTTCATCATAGAGAATGGAGTGACAGCACCCCCGTGTGGCTGGATTGGAGCACAACCTCCATGGTGCAAAAGCTGGATGTCAACATAACATACCTCCTTTCTGTTCCTGTCTGTCTTTGTCCTGTCCAAAACGGCAATGAATATTTGCCGGGTTTGTGTACTGTGATCCACCCTGAGTCCCTTTCGGGAGGGAGGATGGAATATAAATAAAGTGTTGTTGTTGTTGTTGTTGTTATTATTATTATTATCCTCTTCTTAGTGTATTTCTATTTTAAAACAATAGGACACTGTACCAAAAGACGTGATATTGCAAGGTCCAGATTGGTTTATTTTAAGTCTTGATGTTTTCACCATCCGCAGATATACCACCGCTTCTTTGTGGGGCATAACTGATGCTGTTTTTGTTGTTGTTCCTTTCATATTAGCTGCACTTTGCAACACTGCCCCCCCCCCCCTCCAATTTAATCTGCTTCTATAGTATCCTGGGAATTCGCAGTTTGGCTGGTGGGAACTACAGATCCCAGAAATGTGTAAGAAAAGAGTTACAAGAGTGCAAGAACTGCGAGTCTCGGAAGCGGTGGAAACGGGCTACTCCTGGTCGAAGAAGTGCTGCGCGAGCCACTCCCTGGTCCGCCGGGCTTTGCACCGGGGGCATTCCTTCTTCCGGACCCAGGTCTCTCTTTGGGCCTTGGGCTTCTTCTCGGCCTTGGGGGACTTCCGGCTGGAGATGCTGCCACCACCGCTGTCCTGCTCCTCCTTTGCCCGGCTCCATTGCTTTTTCCGGGAGGACTTATGTGAGGCGCGGCTCTGCGATTCGGAGGAGATGCAGTCAGAGAAGGCTGGCAGGGCAAGGTTGGAGGCACACGCACTCATTTTCTTCTTTATGCAACGGCAGGCACAGAGATTCCCGTTCTGCTGTCCACCAAAGA